ATAAAATCAACTAAAATCAGTGATAAAATCAACTAAAATCAATGATATAATCAACTAAAATCAGTGATAAAATCAACTAAAATCAATGATATAATCAACTAAAATCAATGATAAAATCAACTAAAATCAGTGATAAAATCAACTAAAATCAATGATAAAATCAACTAAAATCAGTGATAAAATCAACTAAAATCAGTGATAAGATCAACTAAAATCAGTGATAAAATCAACTAAAATCAATGATAAAATCAACTAAAATCAATGATAAAATCAACTAAAAGCAATTATAAAATCAACTAAAATCAATGATAAAATCAACTAAAATCAATGATAAAACCAACTAAAATCAATGATAAAATCAACTAAAATCAATGATAAAATCAACTAAAATCAAAGATACAATCATGTGGAGGCAGAATAGGCTTGCTTAAAAAGAAAAGTCTTTAAGCCTTTTTAAAAGTCAGTCAATGATTGTGGAGCTCTCAGATATTCAGGGAGGGAGTTCCAGAGGTGGGCGGCAGCCACACAGAATGCCCGATCTCCCATGGTTCTTAATTTAGTTCGTGGAATGTGGAGGAGATTACTGTTCTGTGATCGTAGGGACCGGGTGGATGAATATGGAGCAAGAAGGTCCTTCAGATAATCTGGTGAATTTCCGTATAAACACTGATGGGTGATGAGAGCAATTTTGTACTGAATTCTGTAGGTGACAGGAAGCCAATGGAGGTTATGGAGAATGGGTGTAATATGTTCAAATTTACGAGCTCTCAATAAAATCCTGGCTGCACCGTTCTGAATATATTGAAGCTTCTGAAGGTTTTTGTCGAGGATTCCAGAAAACAGGGAGTTGCAGTAGTCGAGCCTGGAGGAGACAAAAGCATGGACGAGTTTCTCTGCAACAGCAAAAGTGAGAGATGGACGAAGTTTGGAGATATTTTGGAGATGGAAGAAACAGGTTTTAAACAGATGCTTAATGTGATTTTCAAATGTAAGATGAGTTCATTCTTACTCCAAGATTTGTAAGAGAGGTGGAGAGGGGGATGTCTGTACAAGTTCAGTGTGCTCAGAGTACCAGAGTCCAGGTCAACGTCAGATAAACTCCCATCCACAGACTGCACATATGAGGGGAGTGGTGGTGCAGAGGTTAGAGAAGGTGGGCCTGTGATCGGAAGGTCGCTGGTTCAACTCCCCGGACTGATAACATCAAAATGTGGGTGGGAAAGGTGTAGCACCCACACCTGTCTCCACCCTCATTTGCCCCACTATGGGCCCTTGAGCAAGGCCCTTAACCCCCAGCATCTGCACCTTAACAGGTCTCTCTTGTAAACGAGTCCTCGTGGCTCAATGAGACAACCTGTATGAATAAAGTTTGAGTGAAATGAAATGTTTGCAGGAGGGTGTCTGGGTGTGTACCACTCTAGACAATAAATAAATTGTGAATTTATGATGGAGCTTTTTTTTTTTTATTGAAAAGTGACATCCACCACCTTCACAAGCATGTTGCTACAGAGCAGCTCAGTGTTCAAAACCTTAAATATCATGCACGTCTCCTTCAGGAGCCATCGCTGCAAGTCTTCAGGAGTATTTCTCCACGTGAAAGCAGGGCTGAGTGTTGCTGCTCAGAGAACAATCATCATCTACGCTCACTGTTTTAATCCCTCTGCAGTTCGTCTGTACCGCGCGGTGCATGTGACGTAAAGTGTGGCGCTGAACCAACGAGAGGCATCAGAGGTGTAAGAACACCACCTGCAGACCTGAGACATGAAGGTGTCATCACATGCTCCCACACAATGATGAAACGTGCGCTCTGCATTTAACTCATCCCACCTGAGATACACCCAGGTGGAGCAGCGGGCAGCTATAGGTGTCTTGTTCAAGGACTCCACGGCATATGGGTATGGCAGGGACTCGAACCTGTGACTTTCCCTGCTTCATGTTGAAGGAAACGGTGTTTACAAACTATAAAATCTGAAATGACCTCTATCCCAACAAATCACTAATAAACCTGATCAGTGATATCTCTGATATATTGTTAATTGTCAGGCATTTGGACAGAACATCCAACATCTGCAGCTAGAAGATATGAATCATGCAGCAATCACATTCTAATCTGATTAAACTGATCCACAATGAGTTAATTAAAATAAAGTGTCAGACATGTTCATTGGACCCCTCAAGAGAAACTTGATGTTCTGCTTTACTATTGAGTCAAAGAGTTGGACAGGACTTCAATGGGTTACTGCTATAGAAACATCTTGCTGCAAATAAAAGTGACTGTGATTATGGATGCTCTTTGATTTCTGTGCAGTGGGTTTGTCCAGTTACTGGCCTAAGCAGACACTTGACACATTGATGGTTAAGAAGGAGGAACTTTTCTGGCCTCTTCCTTTAAAGGAAGGACGACGTGGTTGGAGCAGCAAGGTTAAAGAACTGCTCCAGAGTTTATGGCTAAGAAAATAAAAGAGAAATAGAAGGAGTGTAAATAGTGCAGGCTGGTTGTCATGACATGTGCACTAACTGTTTGAAAAGACAAGTTCTGTGTGCTTACCAAAAACACGCTCGTCGTTGATGTTCTTGATGCAGAACCAGAGGCCTGCAGGGAACGTACACACCAGGATGTGCAGGTCAAAGAAGAAGGAGACCCAGGTGGTGGGCTGGTGCTCAGACACTGATGCTATGATGGGTATGTGGATCTTAGCGTAGCTGGAAATCACATGAAAGCCAAACAGAGGTCCAAGAGGACAGGAAGTGGGTGGAACAAGAGGAAAACCCATTATAACATTGACCAGCACATGTTCATGTGTTACCATGAAGCTACCTGATGTTAAACCAGATGTTACACCTGATGTCACACCTGGTGTTACACCTGATGTCACACCTGGTGTTACACCTGATGTTACACCTGATGTCACACCTGGTGTTACACCTGATGTTACACCTG